CCTACTTGAAGCCTGGGCGCTGCACCGCGCCATGTCCGGAGCATGCATGCAAAGTCTTGTGTAATTTGCAGAAGTTGCTGAAACTCGCTTGGCGGTCACATGACTCGCTCGTGGTCGTGCCAAAGCAGCATTCCTGCACGCACGAGATTCGATCTCTCAGCCTGTGTCGCGCGTGCGAGGCTAATCTAAGTAAGCCCCATCAAGATCCACCCAGAGTTAGCGGCCGTCACATGCGAGTATTTATGGCCTTGGTCGGCATTCTATAAGGTTTTGATCTGCCGATCCATCTCCTGTTCGCGTCACCTAACCCCTGGTCAAGCCTTGGGCGAATACATAAACACGGCGCCTCAGACTGCTGCCGATAGGTTTTTGTATCCGAAGTACGGTGTCCGAATCATCTGCCGGTTCCGAAGACAAGCCACGCGGGGACAAGATCGTTGTTGATTTATTTCTTTCACGAGTGCAATACTACTACCTGCGTGGTACGTACGTACTACTACTAGATCCAACTAGAAGGAAGATGGATGGCATGGCACCTCCATTACTTTGCATGATGCCTCCGTGGGCAGGCGCACGTCTGCCCCACGGGCACGAGAGGCGCGTGCATGGACGGATGGACCGGTCTCAAAGTTATTCTCCCGTATGGCTGGCTCGAGATGCGCACCAACTGCGACAGCGCGTCGGTCCAGCTTTGCTGGTAAATTCAGGAGGGGGCGGCGAAAGGAGGGGCATATTGCCGTGCACGCCACATCGCCGTGCTGGCTGATCGGAGAGAGCGTTGATGAGCAGGGCCAAAGCGAGCCGATGCGTCGACCCAAGCAAGTTGCTTGCCGATCGATGGATTTTAACATCCCCCCGGGCGGTGAGGGAATAATCGCACGCCGGGCCAGGCCGAAGCTCTACGCCTCCAACTGTAATTAATTGCGTTTCACCTCCTCGGTGGCTGGCTCTCCCGCGGTGGCAGCGCAGTGACACTGGGGTGATCTACCCATAGTTTAGCCGGGCCGGCCATGCCCGGCCAAAGACGCGCCAGTAAAAAGTGTAGAACGCAGCAGGGCGAGATGGGATCGCGCGCCGGCCGAGACTAGTCGCCGTCACGCCTTCGTCCTGGTCTTGGACGCGTCGTCCCCGCCACGCCACGGCACAGGCGAGCAAGCAGCTGGTGTTACTTACTGTGGTGCCGGTGGGTCTACGGGCGAGCAGGCTAGGCTAGGCTAAGCAGCGGCTGATCCGGCAGAGCGAATGTACGTATGTGGATTGCATCGGGGTTGTGTCCAGAGCGCGACGTACGGCGCGGGTCATGCATGTCGCCAGCCCGGTCAAACGAGTGTTTGTTTGATCGCCATGGGGCGTTGCAGCTTGACGCGTGAGCTCCGATACAAATGGTTTTGGGTCATCGCTCATCGGGGACCGACTATGGGGCTGTACGTGGACCACGAAAACCTTGAAAATTGGGGTGATTTTGGTGAAAGCATGCAAGGGCATCAGCATCTCCGCCGCTGGTTCAGGCCTTCGGGGTCGGACCCATGGGTCAGCCGGTTTACCGCGGACAAAATAACCGAAATGTCTAGCTAATTTCAAACATAATTTACCTTGGAGTAAACTTTCGAAGTGGTACACAAAATCTATCAACAACTCAAAAAATATAGTCAAGTCGAGTTGATATATGCGCGTGCGTGCGTGCGTGCATGCATGCGTGTGTTCGGACTACTTGTTGAACGAGCGTTTCGACATATGTTTGGAGTAGAGCCAATTATTTTGCCTGTCTAGGCTGACTTAGCTTTCCTTAGTTACTCTTTCTACTACTCCCTCAGTCTAAAAATACCTGTCATCAAAATGGATAAAAGGAGATGTATATAGCGTCTAGATACATTTCCTTTTATCCATTTTGATGACAAGTATTTTCGGACCGAGAGAGTACTTTTTCTGGCCATTAGCTTTTTTAGATACTTTTTGCAAATTAATGACCTTTCTATAAATGAAAAATGCACGATGAACATTATTCAAACACAATCTTTTTTAAAATAATCAATGACCATTTTTCTAAAATACGCTGCATTTACATGTACATTTTTTGCAAACACATAATGCATATTTTTCAAATGAATTTTAAAAATTCATCATCTTTTTCCAATATTCAAATATTTCAATAACATTTTTAAGAGGATATTCCGAATTTAAATTTAAATTACATATATAAAATAAAACAGATCTTATTGGGCCGTGACTGTGCCTGGCCCAGTTACTACTTTGTGGGCCTTTGCCCGCCTATAGCAGCCATAGGATCGAGCCTGCTCAGTATCTCTAGCCCGCCAGTTCTGTACTAGCTTTAGATGTGGAAGTCTATATCAATACTTCAGCCGAGTACAATGGAAATTCAGACACAATTGACCATGCAACTCACTGCTCCATTTTTCAGTTTGTCCAACAATACAACAAGTATCCAGGAGCCCATCTTTATTATTTTTGTGTCGTAGCATCATTGCATTGCTTGGTAACAACCTTTTTTTATTATTGGTAACAACTTGCTTGTCTACAATCCGCCTCCGGAATGTATCCAGCAGACCCGGTGCCCCAATAATGATTTTCTACATAGTTAATATTTTAAGAAAATACTAAAAAACACATAATAAATACGAAATATATGTACCATTCCATGAGAACCCAAAACCAAATATAGTTTCGAACTCTTGAAAGAAGAAAATATAGTGATGATGGCTATCACAGGCCATATCAAAAGCTCAACATAAATTATGTTTCATAGAAGGAGTTTCCTTTTATTGTTGCAGGTCAATTCTTTATTTCATTTTTTAGAAATAAATACCGGAGTATATTAAGATTTTGCGTGGAAAGGCCAAAGGTCATATATCAAGTAGAGAAAACTCTTACATTAACTACAAATACATCCAAACCTTGGGGGGGCCGAAGCCTTCTTCCTCCTGCATCCATATAAATATACCAAGGGATGTACCACCCTCCATAGGCCTCACGGACGAAACTAAGAAACAACGCGGGAACAACAACGTCATCAAGCAAAAAAGCGCGGCATATTCTGGTTAGAGAAATAGGTTAGCTTTGAATATTTTCAAATTTTGTGAAATTCAGAAAATATTCATGGGTTTATAACAACACATAGTTAAAAAAAATCAATTTTACTAAGAAAAATATTTAAATTCGAAAATTTACACGCGTTATTAAAAAGATCATGATTCTTTATGAAATCTAGGATTTATACAAAAAACAAAAAAAATAAGAAAATGTTCACAAATTTTATGAAATATTCATGAGTTCAACAAATCTTTGTGAATTTTAAAAAGTAAAAATAAAGTATATTAAAAATAGCAAACGAAAAGAGGAAAATAAAAAAACTAGGAAAACCACCGAAGAATCCACGAAGAACACTGCCAGAAAATAAGTTCCTACAGAAAAACCATGGGAAAAAATACGCCAGAATCCTGGGTCAAAATACCAACAAAATGAAAATTGATGAATAGATTGGCTCGCTCGGTGCTAGTAGTCGTCATTAGGTAGTCTGCAGAACTGGATGTAATTTTTATTTCTGGTGTTCTACCTTAATAGTTGATGAATAGATTGGAAGTTTTCTCGAAAAAAAAAACCCAACCAAATGAAAATTGGCCTAGATGAGCAGTGCCATATCACTGATTGAGTGTGTGATTCGTACCAATACGGCACTATCCTTCGCTACGAGCGGTGAATAGAATATTCCATTAGATAGTGGCCACCTTAATTTGATCTCCCGATAGGTGACCCTCATCTTTTCTTGTACGTGCATGCATGCAAAATTAAGTTACCCTCTATGTAAGTATGAGCTATGAAATAAAATAATTGTTCTGTTAGTTTTTGCTGCTCGTTTTGATATTTGTTTAGATCCAAAAAGACATCTCTTTATCTTGTTAACTCGATTGATGATCCCTTTTAACTTTTTTTTTGTCATGCCAAGGTCTTTGAAACCGGATCTCATGCCGAATATTTTCGGAAATGTTAACGCCCACATGTGTGGGTGTTAGCCAACTCGTCCACACGTCTTCATTGCTGTCCAGCGCTTTTTGTACGAATCTTGGCATGAAAAGACTTAATTTGTGTGTCACGTAGGACAACTCGTGTGTGTGGCGTGTGAGGGAGTTCGCCCGCACGCCGTTTTCTCTCCGTCAAGTGTGGCGGGCGGGGTCACACTTGACGTCGATAACTGCCACACGTGTGGTGTATTGGGTGGTTGTGCCGCACGCCCTGTGGCACGGAGACGACCCCGCCCATACGACCGCGTCCGGGCGCGCGCAGCCACAGACCGCACGTCCGGTGCAGCACGATCGCCCCACACGAGCACGTACGGGCGAGCGAGCACGCGGCCCGCACGATCGCCCCGCCTGCGAGCCACACGTCCCGTGTGTCACACGCCTTGCGTGTCAGTAACCACGCGTTCCTTCGCGATTGCCATGGTCCGGACCCTCTTCAGTTGCCATGTTGCCATGTTGCTGAACTACAGTTGCCATATTGCTGAACTACAGTTGCCATGTCGGACAACTACAGTTGCCATGTTTTCTCAACTGCAGTTGCCATCTTAGGTCAAGTGCCGGATGTCATTTTTGGGCAACTGCAGTTGTTGCCATGTATGGTCTGGTCTACTACAGTTACCATGATTTGAAAAACTTTAGGAATTGCCACCTACTAACACTGGACAGTCGCCATGTAGCACTAAAAAAACATGGCAAAAAGCATGTTTCGGGTAAAGAGAGAGTTGCCATCTGCTTACAAGCACGCTAGAGGCAGTTGCCATGTACCCTGCAAAAACACATGGCAACTGATAGCTTTGGTGTGTGGGAGAGGAGACGGGCATGTGGGCGATGGTGGTATCTTTAGGAGTTGCCACATACTAACACTAGACAGTTGCCATGTAGCGCTACAAACAGACGTGGCAACAATAACATGTTCGGGTGAAAGAGAGTTGTCATCTGTTTACAATCACAAATAGGGCAGTTGCCATGTACCCCTCAAAAGACATGGCAAATGACAGCCTGGATGTGGGAGAGTGGAAGAATGAGCAGTCATGGGAGATGGCGAACAGAAATGGTGCGTGGCGTGCGGGCGCGACATCAGTTTCATCGCACGCCCCGACTGGCGAACCGTTGACCGCGGAGAGAAAACGGCATGCGGGCGAACTCCATCACACGCCACACACACGAGTTGTCCTACGTGGCACATAAATTCAGTCTTTTCATGCCAAGATTCGTGTAAAAAGCGTTGGACGGCAATGAAGGCGTGTGGACGAGTTGGTTAATGCCCACACGGGTGGGCGTTAACATTTCCATATTTTTTTATTCTAGTAGTTACAAAATCATAGCCATTTTGTTACTAGGTTGCTTAGCAGGTTATTTAATGTCGGTTTCTGACTCTCTATGCTTGTAAGACTTGTAATTAACACTTCAATTGTCAGTATCTAGTTTGTGAATAATATTATAATAACATACACATTATTATCTAATAACCATAAATTATTACCATCGTTAGGTGTAGTCATTTCCAGGTATAAGTTTTAAAAAGAAACTGATAACGTTTACACGTGTGGCATGTTAGACATCCGCTGTGTGGCGTAAACAAGAGGCGGTCTACACGGGTCATGTGTGGGCAAATATTAGAACTGCCCACACGTGTGGGTGCGGCTACTTCGTGTCACATGTCTAACAAGTACTACTCATTCTCACCCCGCGCGTGTGGCACGAAGCAAATATGCCCACACGTCCTGACGCAGCTACGTTAGTTACCCGTGGGATGAAGATTTAGTTACCCCGGGGGATGGCAACTTTAGTTATCCGAGACGACAAATGTGGTTGTAAAAGCATGGCAACTCTATCTGTTTTGGTTAACTATAGTTGACATGTCTAATTTATGGTAATTGCCGCGTGTAATCAAATCATAGTTGTCGTGTATGATTAACTACTTGCCACATGTGGTTAAACAATAATTGTCATGTGTGTTTACCTAGTTGCTACTGTGGACCAACCATAGTTGCCATGTATGTTTACCTGATTGCCACGTATGCACAACTGTGTTGCCATGTGTGATCCAACCATAGTTGCCATGTATGGTTAATCATAGTTGTCATATGTGTTTACCTGGTTGCCACATACGCGTAACGACAGTTGCCATCTATCCCCGTACGAGCGTCGTGTGGGCAAAGAGCAGTTCTCCCTCACACGGACGAACTAGGTGGTGACTGTGTGGGCGGGAACTGGTTTGCCCATATGACGCAACCAGCAACCGCGCGCCGTGGGTCATGTTGGCAAGCGCTCTAACGCCCACACAACATGCTACGCCTACGTGGCACCAAAATTCCAATAGGTTTCTGGTTGGCTTTCGTAGCAAAAGTTGGAGGCCCTGCATGGCTCAACCTTCGGGCTTGGGCCGTGGTACTAGGCTCTCCGTGTCTAGGTTTAATCATGGTAATTGCTAAGACGATTCTTTTTTGAAATTGCTATAAGATGATACCAGCGACACTTTGTTAGGAGCTGGCGCTGATACAGAATTTCATCGGAATATAACAATTAACAACTATAAAAAAAATTGAATCCTGGACAAGACGAATTTAGATTTGAAGACGAATCGCTAACAAGATTAATAGCTTTTTGAGATGAATATCTTTTGAAAATGTAAATTTAGCGATTAATGTAGTGATTTCGTCATGATATATATGTGAAATTTATTTGTGCATGCAACCTCTCCCATACGAAGGAGCCCCATTGTGAGGGCACATCAATGAAAGACAAAAGTGCATACATATAGATTGTCTCAAACCATAAGACCTTTTTATCCTCGCGGTGACTATAAAACATCTTATACCAGTACAATATAGGAGTACTTGGAAGTTTACAGTCGACCGTGGTAGCCAGTATCATGACCGAGTGCATTGACGCGAACACGGCCAGAGTCATCGCCCGGCAGTCACGATAATAAGCAACCATCTCTTTCCTCCTCCACAACAAAAGCTCTTCTCCTCCCGTCGACAACACTGCCGGTCCACCTCATTTCCGATGGCCTCTAGGCCATGGAGGTGCGGAGGATCCCCCTCCCCCCCTCCGGCGGCGGACGGGATCTTGTTCTTGTTAGAGTCAGCGTCTTGGTTGGGGCTGTGACGGCGACGATGTCCCTCAATAAGAATAATGTCTCCGACGTTCTATCCCCGTCCCGATGGTGTGTCTAGCATCGTCGGAGGGCGTGTGGAGATTTATCTTCATCGGATCTCACGGGATTCGGTCCGTGCTCGTCTTTGGTGGATCTGTTTGGATCCAGTCTTGGTCAGTCTTCGTTTGGGTATATATAGGTTTGATCCTTCTGATCTACGATTTTTTTTAGCGGCAATGGCTGCTACACTGGTGCGCTGGTTCTATGGGGCCTTAGCACGAGGACTTACTGACTGTCTACTACAACAAGGTTTGCCCGGGTCCGCTGAGGGAGGGACAATGATGGCAGCGCCTTCGGCTCGCTCCACTGCTTGTAGTCGTCGCTAGGTGATCCACGGACATTGTTGTAATTTTTATTACCTCTATTCTTTTTTGTACTGCCATGATTAAAAACCAATAGATTGAAAGTTTCTTGGAAAAAAAATATCTCAACCCAGAGAAAACAAAAGATGGGCGGGTTCTTGTCAGCCGGCGTCAATCTTTTAAAAACCAGCAGGCCTGCCGTTCCGGCCCGGTCCGGCGCAGCCGCGGCCGTCACGTGGAAACAAAACGTACCGCTCGGCCCCAGACCCCTCCCCTCCGAAGTCTCCGTCCACCGCAAGCCTCGCTCCGCCCGCCACGGCACGGACGGACGGGGACTCGCCGGACAGACGCGGCCAGCGACAAACCACTCCTGTATAGTGGCACCGTGCCATCTGCTCCTCCCACCACGGCACCACCGCACCCCTGACCGTAATAATCAATCACCGCAGGGAGGAGTCGGTGCAACCGAAACGTCACGACGACGGCAGGTAGGTGACCCGGTCATCATCATCATCCCGACTTCCCGGTTCGGTAGATTATATCATGGCGAATGCGCGCCATGTGAGCTGCCACCGTAGCTACTGTACTAGCTAGCCAGCCATCGGGCGGAAGCAACCGACCCGTTTCGACACTCGCGAGAGTACATAGTCGGCAGCGGCGGCCACGAGGCGGAACATTCCCAGTTTCCCAGGCTCCAACAACAAGAAGAAGAAGCGCGGGCCGTTCTGCTGCAGGTCCTGTGATGCAGGCGCCCGCCGGGAGAACGTGGTCGCCGATGGCGACGGAGGCCAACCCCTACGCCATGCCGGCGCCGGCGCAGAAGAGTACGTGCGCGCCGCGCGGCGGCGGAGCTCACCGACCTAATAGTAAATTGTGAATTTGTTACTGTCTATCTGGCCGCTGATGGAAACGAACTCTGTTGTCGCGCTACGCTACGCAGGCACCAAGGAGACGGTGAAGAACGCGCTGTCGCTGTGGGGGCGGAAGGTCGGCGAGGCGGGCAGGAAGGCCGAGGACCTGTCGCGCAACACATGGCAGCACCGTGAGTGCTAAACTCATCACCAGAATGAATTTATTATGTTCTTGGATTAATACATGCCTTGATCGATCTGCTGCAGTTCGGACGGCGCCTAGCATGACGGAGGCGGCCGTGGGGAGGATCGCGCAGGGGACCAAGGTGCTGGCGGAGGGCGGCCACGAGAGGATCTTCCGGCAGGCCTTCAGCGCCCCGCCGGACGAGCAGCTCCGCAAGTCCTACGCCTGCTACCTCTCCACGTCCGCCGGCCCGGTCATGGGGGTCATGTACCTCTCCACCGCCCGGGTCGCCTTCTGCAGCGACACCCCGCTCTCCTACGAGGCCCACGCCGGCGACAACACGGAATGGAGCTACTACAAGGTACGTACGCTCCAGTTTTTGCTCTGGTCTGGTTATTAAGATGTGGTTTTGTGACAAGTTTAATCGTGGATGAACTGAACGCCGGTGACGCAGGTGGCGATTCCTCTGCACCGGCTGAGGGCGGCCATCCCGTCGGCCAGCAAGGTCAAGCCGGCGGAGAAGTTCATCCAGCTCGTGTCGGTGGAGAACCACGAGTTCTGGCTGATGGGCTTCGTCAACTACAGCAGCGCCGTCGTGCACTTGCAAGAAGCTCTCAGCGGCTTCCACAACCTGCAAGCGTGACGACGACGACCCGCATCGCGCACGCCTTTGGTCTGTCTGTGGTACTGGTGTTTTCGCCAATCGTCGGGCGTGGGAGTGTTTCTGCAGTTCCGCTTTCATTTTTTTTGGGTGTTGCAGAGGAGCCGAGTCATTGCAGTATGCTGTTTACTAAGAGCATTCACATGATCGTGACATTATTATTTGCGCTGAAGATCGTATTGTTTTTAATACAATACAGACGCAAACGCTCATATATGCACGCATACACTCATCCTATATGAATGGATACGCGCACATCCTACTTTTATGAACACCTTCGAAAGACTGAGCCGGCATATCATTTTGAGATTTTACGGATAAATGCGAGCATCAGAATTTGAACTTTGGTGGGCTGGAAATACCACTATCCTACTAACCATCTAACCACAAATTGATTTGCATCGTGACAATATTGATGCGAATAATTTTTTTAAAATCACTATATCCATGTAATGTCCTTCCCAGACAACTTTCTTTTGAGAATTATTAGTGAAAAATTACATGGTTAGGAGAACTTGTATGTTTCGTCCTACGAAAGAGGCCCACCTGTGTCAACAATGGCCAATGGGGTCCATCCCAAAGCACCAGGATGCCCCCACGGGTGAAAAAGGCCCGCCTTGATGTGTCAACAATGGCTAATGGGGTTCATCCCAAAGCATCGGGATGCCCCCACGGGTGCCATTGGCCAGCCGTTGCGCAAAACTCCATAGTCATAATCTCTGAGTTTTGCCTTTTAGCAAGGGTGTATATTAGGAAGACCGACACAAGCGTCAAGTTCACCATGACGTATGAGCGAACCTCTTCTACAAGAGAAGATTCCTTTTTGGCCAAGCTCATCACGCAAAAGCCTTTTGATAAGGTGATGTGGGTTGCTATGTGTGATTTTAGACAAATATACCGTAGACAAAAGCAAGCGAAACATGGACAGTAGCCCTCGGAGGCCCCGTGCTTTCAAGTTTGAAAACTTCTGGGCCTCCATCATGGGCATCAGCGATATGGTGCTTAAAGCTTGGAATGAGCACGCAACGGACACTGAGCCCGACCAAGTCTTGTTCCACAAGTTTAAGAAAACCGGGTTGATGCTCTCGGAATGGAGTAGAGGTATTGACGCTCAAGAGTGACACACTCATAAAATTAGCTTAAGCCATGTCAAGATTAATTCAAATTTATGATTGGAAGTCACTTCGGATGTCTCTCTTTGAGAAGATCAAGATGGATATGAAGATGGTCTAAAACGGAGCTCAGATGCAAAAGTTATGACAAGTTCAGAGATGCTCATGTTGACACCAGATTAAAGAATGGCATGAAACTCAATTAATATGGCCTCTGATAGAAAACGTTTCAACATGAAAGTTGTGCGTCTCGTAAAAAAATGTTGATTTTGATATAAAAATCATTTTAATCCAAGGTCGTATGCAACCTATGAAGGCAAATAAAATTTAGAAACAAAAGCTGCACAGTTATTTCGGACCGACCGAGTTGATTTGACTCAGTAAGACCGAGTTGACTAGGTAATTCCGAGTCAAACCACTCGGAAATTGGATAACCCACAAGTATACGGGATCAATCGTAGTCCTTTCGCTAAGTAAGAGTGTCGATCCCAACGAGGAGCAGAAGGAAATGACAAGTAGTTCTCAGTAAGGTATTCTCTGCAAGCACTGAAATTATAAGTAACGAGTGGTTTGATAGCAAGATAATTTGAAACGAACAAGTAATGGTAACGGTAACAAAAGTGCAGCAAGGTAGCACAATCCTTTTGAGGCAAAGGACAGGTCAAAACGGTCTCTTATGATAAGAAAAACGTTCTTGAGGGTACACGGGAATTTCATCTAGTCACTTTCATCATGTTGGTTTGATTTGTATTCGCTACTTTGATAATTTGATATATGGGTGGACCAGTGCTTAGGTGTTATTCTTACTTAAACAAACCTCCTACTTATGATTAACCCCCTCGCAAGCATCCGTAACTACGAGAAAATTATTAAGATAAAATCTAACCATAGCATTAAACTTTTGGATCCAAATCAGTCCCTTACAAAGTAGCGTATAAACTAGGGTTTAAGCTTCTGTCACTCTCGCAACCCATCATGTAATAACTACTCCACAATGCATTCCCTTAGGCCCAAATATGATGAAGTTCGATGTAGTCGACGTTCACATGACACCACTAAGGGAATCACAACACACATACCATCAAAATATCGAACAAATAACAAATTCACATGATCACTTGCAACAGGATTTCTCCCATGACCTCAAGAACAAAACTAACTACTCACATATGATAATCATGCTCAAGATCATACGGACATTAAATAGCATAATGGATCTGAACATATAATCTTCCACCAAATAAACCATATAGTAATCAACTACAAGACGTAATTAACAGTACTAGTCACCCACCAGCACCAATCTAAGGTTCCGGTAGAAAGATTGAACACAAGAGATGAACTAGGGTTTGAGAGGAGATGGTGCTGTTGAAGATGTTGATGGAGATTGCCCTCCCCAAGATGGGAGATTTGTCGGTGATGATGATGACGATGATTTCCCTCTCCGGGAGGGAAGTTCCACCGACAGAATCGCTCCGCCGGAGGGCAAAAGTGCTCCTGCCCAAGTTCTGCCTCGAGACGGCGGTGCTTCATCCCGAAAGTCTTATCCTTGTTTTTATAGGTCAAAATGACTTATATACCAAAAGAGGGGCACCGAAGGTGGGCCAAGGAGAGCACAACCCACCAGGGCGTGCCTGGGCAACCTGGCATGCCCAGGTGGGTTGTGCCCACCTGGTGTGCCCTATCTGGTACTTATTAGCTCCGGTATTTCTTATATATTCCATAAAAATTCTCCGTGAAGTTTCAGCTCATTTGGAGTTTTGCAAAATAGGTAGCATGACGTAGCTTTTTCAGGTCCAGAATTCCAACTGCCGGTATTCTCCCTCTTTGTGTGAACCTTGCATATTATGAGAGAAAAGGCATTAGAATTACTCCAAAAAGCATTATTATGCATAAAAACATTATAAATAACAGTAGGTAATCATGATGCAAAATGCACGTATCAAAATTCTAAGTGAGATACAGAAGATTATAGAAGGTTGGCCACATTCACTGGTACTTATTTGCTCCAATAATTCGTATATATTGCATAAAAATTCTTCATGAAGTTTCAGCTCATTTGGAGTTGTGCAGAATAGGTAGCCTGACGTAGATTTTTCAGATCCAGAATTCCAGCTGCCGGTATTCTAACTCTTTGTGTGAACCTTGCATATTATGAGAGAAAAGGCATTTGAATTACTCTAAAATGCATTATTATGCATAAAAACATTATAAATAACAGTAGGTAATCATGATGTAAAATCAACGTATCAATTCCCCCAAGCTTAGACCTCGCTTGTCCTCAAGCGAAAACCAAAATCGAAAAATATGTCCACATGCTTAGAGAGAGAGAGGTCGATAAAAACAAAATACGGACATAGAAGCATCATGTAAATTATTATAACAGCAACAACCTTTATCGTAGAGCTTTTATCACAAATAAATTTTATCATAAACTTCTCATGAATAAGTAACAATTCATCTCAACATCGAAGTATAAAGCATAAACTCTATTAGAAACCAACAAACTATGTTCTTAGTCAACTTTGCAACTACAATTCATTATCTTTTCACGAAGGGTCACGTATAGGAGCCTTTTGGCAAGTCCACATACTCAACCATCATATAGTCTTCTACAATTGCTAACACTCACCGCATACACATGAGCAAAAAGTTTCAACCAGACACATAGAAAGATAGGGGCTTATAGATTTCGCCACCCAACATACTCACCTCAAGGGTGATGTCAATAATAATAATTCATGCTACCCATATCCAACTAGATATATGTGCCTAGATCTTTCCTCACCACGTGATGCTTGCCAAAGGAGAAAAAATAGAAGGGAATAGAGAGAAAACTTTGACTCTTGCATAAAAGTAAAAGATAGGCCCTTCGCTTTTTGTTTGTATGCTCAATCTCGTATAAAAGTAAGCATTGACTCTTGCATAAAAGGGAAGCAGAGGTTGCCATGCGCTTTTTGTTTGTATGCTCAATCTGGTAGTGCAAAAGAGCATCACGTTATATTGCCCCTTATGATAGCAACCTTTATTATGCAGTCTGTCACTTTTATTCTTTGCCATCACAAGTTCGTACAACGCTCAATTTTCTCTTACACTAAACGATCCAACACTTTTAGAAGCAATTTTTATTGACTTATTGCACCAATGACAACTTACTTGAAGGATCTTACTCAATCCATAGGTAGGTATGGTGGACTCTCAAAATAAGATTTGGGTTTAAGGGTTTTTGGATGCACAAGTAGTATCTCTACTTAGTGCGGAATTTTTTGGCTAGCAAAGATGGGGGGCAAGCACCACACGTTAAAGGATCTATGACAATATAACTTCTATGTGAATATGAACAAATATAAATCATTACGTTGTCTTCCTTGTCCAACGTCAACAATTTTGGCATATAATATTTTGATGGGGGATCACAATCACAAAAGATGTCTAGGATAGTGTATTTGCATGTGAATCTTCTCTTCCCTTATTAATTCTTTCATGAATTGCATCATTGACCAATGATATGTTTGTAAATCTCCAATAATTTTTTCTACTTATACTCTTCCTTATGTGATGTCACTACTTACCATAAGATTAGTATATGATCTTTTTCATTTATTTCCTTTATTTTTATTGAACATGAAAGTAAGAGAACAAAACTTCAAACAAAATTTTATTATATATCTCGCACACGATCACAAGGATAGATCACTAAGCAAACACTCGAAAGGAAAGGATGGAACTAAACTTTTATTCATCTATAGCAAAATATAACTACGGATCGAACTAAGATAAGTAAAGGCAAAAGATTGTGGAGGTGATACGATATTGGGGCACCTCCCCCAAGATTGGCACAAGCCAAGGGGAGTGCCCATACCCGATACT